ACGTGGATATGTCCTCTGTGCGAGGCTGCTAGCGAGCTATATCCACCCTGAAGGTTAATCTTGGACAATATCTGATGATCGACTCTTTTAAATGAAACCAGAGAGCGTTGACAGAGAGGAGAAGGTAGAAATGACTCAGCCTGTAACTGAAAATATAGATGGAGGACAACAGAGCTGCTTCATGGATGGAGGACCTCAGTTTAGCTTGTTTGTCGCACTAGCACCAAGCTAATACATATAAGGCAATTGGGTGCTAGTGCAAAGGCTAGCAGGCTAAGTTGAGGTTCTTCTTCCATGAAGCAGCTCTGTTGTCCTCCATCTATATTTTCAGTTACAGGCTGAGTCATTTCTACCTTCTCCTCTCTGTCAACGCTCTCTGGTTTCATTTAAAAAAAGAGTCGATCATCAGATATTGTCCAAGATTAACCTTCAGGGTGGATATAGCTCGCTAGCAGCCTCGCACAGAGGACCTATCCACTTCATTATTTACCCAGAATGCTTTGTGTGCAAATAAAATGGCCCGGTCTGTGTAATATTTTTTAAAGTTTTAGTTTAAAAATTATAAAAACTAAACATCCTGCAGTATTTTTAGTCTTTATTTTACAGTTAAAATATGTGTTTATTAAATAGTCTAATGTTACAACTAATCATGGATCCCTTGAAAATGAAGACACTACAGACACGACAACTGATATTTGCTTTAGCAGAACAGGATCAGACACGAGCAACAGAAGCATGAAGCTGTGCATGAAGCATGCCAACATGAGCCTGAAGCCAACAACCTGCACACGCGCAAGGTGTACTTACGCAGCAGGCCATAGGAGGAGGATAAGAGGTGAACAGCGTATCTACCCTGAGAGAGGAGTCCGGGGAGCGACAGGCGGCGCCGCAGACTCTCCGTTTCCTCCTCGCAGATGTCCCCCGTGCTGGAGCTCTTCTTGGCCTGCACCGAGTCCTCCTGGCGGACGCGCTCGGCGGTGTTGTCGGTCACGCCGCTGAGCGCCTCCGACCGGGATGGCAGGTAGAAGTTCATCATCTTCCTCAGGGACAAGGCCTCGTAGGTGGAGGCGACCCGCTCGCCCACCGCTGAGGCGCAGGAGGCCACCAGGCTGTTGAGGGTGGAGGAGCCCCGACCTCCAGGAGGAGGCTGGAGGAGAGGCAACGTGGAGAAAGATTAAAAACAGCAACGATAAATTAACAGAAATTATTTCAGAGAAATCCTCTTTGATACATTTTATAGAAACTTTAGAGCCTTGTGACAATTTAACAAGTTGTGAATAACTCTCAGCTACTACCACACTGAATCATAGCACAAAATCTGCATTGTTAACCTGAGTTAGAGACATTTTTATGGGATAAATCTTGTGCCAGCAGGGATTTAATTTGAATTGATCAGATTAAATCTGGATGTGCATAATATGAAATTGAATGCATTGGTTTGAAACTAAATTTAAAGTTTTGAATTTTTATTAATTTGCTTTGAAACTGTATTTTGGTTTATTAAAAATTCAGTTTCACTACTTTCACTTTCAGTTCCATAATTCAGATTTTTGTGTCTTTATCCTGGTCCTCGAGAAAGCCAGCCAGAGTAATCAAACACAGATTTATGTTTCACTTTGGTGAAGTTTCTCTTCTGTATGTAACAGAGCTGATGTAATCCACCGTAAAAGTGACAAAAACAGACAGTTATTTTATTGCAGTGATTAATTTGACCTATATGTAGAAAAAGTTACATTTACATCACATCATAAATCACATATTGATCAGATGCTGCTGCTGACTGATCCAGCATTCAATTTCAAATTATGCAAATACAGATTCAATCTGAGCAATTCAAATTCAGTTCCTGCTGGCACAAGATTTATCCCATACATTTGGTCTTTTTTTGAGGTCAATTAGTAGTGAACATCTTGAATTGAGTTGATTTCGAAATTTAAATAGATACAAAATAGCTTCTCAAATATGGGGAGCATCATAAAACTGTTGGCTGGTGCAGTGTAGGTCAGACACATCTACAGTCCTGACAAACTTCACACTGATCGGTGCAGCTGTTTCTGTGCTACGGTTCACCAGAGATCTCTGGAAATAAAAAAAAAACACAGTATGGAAACAACATGACCCACGCTTCACATGTGGGGGTCATAATTAGTTGAACACATGCATTTATATTTTCTGAGAAGATGAGAAGGGGGTCTCTGCAGTTACTAAGTAGGAGTTTCTTATTTTGTGGGAGGAGTTAGCCCAAGATGTGACTGGTCGGATTGACGGGGGGTAGAAAGGAAGGTGCTAGCTGTATGAAATTTGAACAGCGTACATGTGGTGGAACATGTAACAACTGGCTCGGCCTAAACCAGGGCTATTCAACTAAATTGCTCTGGGAGCCACAGTTACTGCAGGCCAACAGCTGAAGGGCCGAACATCCAGCAATTAAAGTCATTATGTAAATAAAACAAGTATGTAAATAAAACAAGTATTACAAAGATCTGTTACCTTTGAATTAGTTTAATTTGCTGCATTTAATCATGAATACAACATACAGAGCCCTATGTAATAAAATAAGTGATATTAAAACAAAATCAAAAACAATTGACACAAATATTAGTTTGGCATATTTAACTCACCACCATTTTAAACGAATTTTTATTTTACTTATCTTAATTTTTTATTCTTCTGCTTGTAGTTTTAAGTGTCTTGGGTTTTCATGCAAATGGTTTTTACCAGCTTTTTGGGCAAGATTCTGATGTTTCTGTATACCACACATGTCTATGTTCAATTTAAAGAACTTATAGTTATTCAAGTAGAAAACCGATGGTTTGGGTTTAAGAACTTAATGAACCAATTGGTGGGACGAATTTAGGTCACCAGCAGGCCTGATGTGGCCCACGGGCCTCCAGTTGAATAGCCCTGGTCTAAACAGTCCTAAGCAGCCTGTAAAAAGATTGCTAAAAAATGAATAAGATTAGTCATAATTTGAGACAGGAAGGTGCTTGCTGCATAAAATTTGAAGTCAATAAATTATGTATGTTTACATGTTCACAATTTTTCTTTGAGTCACTGTTCTGTTTTTAAACTGTACATGGACAGTAAATAAATCCTATTTTACTATTATTACTTCCTCTTTTAAGTTGCCCCACATGACAAGTCAATCCAACCAGTCACAGTTAGGGTAAACTCTGACCAAACAACAACTTGTACTGCAGAGAGCCCTAGTTCATAAAACTCCAGTGGTTCCAGAGAAATTGTGCTAACAGACAAACATGGGACCAAAACAGGAAGTGCTTGATTCCAACTTCTGGCAACAGCTGATAACAGAGAAGCTTAATTTCAAATCTTTAACTTTCATTTCATGTTTAGAAGGTTTTTAAAGCTCTAAACTTTGACCCTGGGGGCTGGACCGGTGCAGGAGTTCTGACGGAGCTCACCAGCTTTGACCCGGCCTGCGTGCTGTCTGACAGCTTCCTCAGATATTCCTGCACAGCTCGCTCGTCAGGATAGGGGGAACCTTTCCCTCCAGCGGTGGGAGGGGCAGGTTTAGACTGAAGCAGGTGGTCAGAGTCTGGAACAGGCTGCTCCCCGTTAGTTAAACTCGCCCCTGCCCCGTCTGAGGCCTGATCCTTGGAGGGGTCCGAGGTCAGGCTGGAGGAGAGGTCGGAGCTTGACTCAGGTGCAGGAGCTGCTGGGATCACAGGGGAGCTGAGGCGGGAGGAGAGGACCAGCTCAGATGGGGAGGTTCTGAGGTTCTGGGTCGGCGGGGGTGCTTGCAGCCCGTTTTTGGCCTGTGGCGAGCAGAAGTGGCTGTCAGAGATGATGACGTGGTCCTCCTTGTCTGTCATGGTGTAGAGCAGCTGGTGGCACTGGTTGCATTTGTCCACGGGGGGCCGTGGGCCCTCGCTGGGGCCCGGGCAGCGCACCAGAGCCAGGCAGTGGTCTGCCCCGCAGGCCACCTGCAGCACGTGCCGGCCTGCCGGCAGCTCCACCCTCTGCGGTTGCCACGACGGCACGGCAGCTCCGCCCCACGCCCACACCTCCCTCTGGACCGACAGTGCCAGGCTGCGCGTCTCCCCGCAGGCCAGCTCCAGAACTAGCACCGTCCGAGCGCCGCCCGGGTCCAGCAGGGCCACCGGGGTCGGGTTGGGCACGGAGCCGAGAGCAGGGAGGCCGCACTGTCCCGCGCTGTTGTCCCCCCACATGTGGACACCACCGTCCTCCGTCACCACGCCACTGTGGAAGCTCCCCGCCGCCACGGAGATCACCCGCTGCCCACTGAGAGCGCTCTCCAGGGTCGGTTCTGTCACCTCTGACACTGGATTCTGTTTCCATGGTAGCTCGCCAAAACTGTACACCTGTCCTCCTGAAGGGGACGAGTCCACCAGAGACAAAGAAGCAATTACTGAGAGTACAGGTTGTGTGTCTGATCTAAAACAAACATTTGATTCTTACTGGTTTGTTCAAGGGAACCCTGATTAGTTGTAACATTAGACTTTATTTGATAAACATTTATTTTAACTGTAAAAAGGATCGCATCTCTGCTTTTTGCGGATGATGTGGTCCTGTTGGCTTCATCGGAACGAGATCTGCAGCTCTCGCTGGAGCGGTTCGCGGC